GCGGTAAACTTATATAAGGTTAATTGAATTTAATTTGGCACCTGGGGAGGAGCGATCGATCGTACGAGAAGTTAGAATTTATTGTGTGACTGCGTTATTAACATTCGGATGATTAAGTTTTAATCCAGGAGATATTTTTAGATTCTTGCGGTATAACGGGAAAGAAAGAGAGGGAGAGAGAGAGAGAGAGAGAGAGAGAGAGAGAGAGAGAGGAGGAGAAGGGGGAGCTGATTTATAAAAGTAAAAAAGGGAAAACGCGCGGGAAGCCGCTATCGTTCCTACGGTATCTTTGTCCAATTATATTTCTAATTATTTTGCGAGCACATCCGGCTTACATCGTACTCAGCGCATAACGTAGGCGCAATTTAATAAATAATATTTCATTTTCGACCAACTATAAAAGCACAGTCGCTATGGAAGACCCCTTTGATATTTACAGTCGGATATTTTTTCAAATATCTCTTTACGTCTGCGCTTTCTATAATTATCTCAAAGGTTGATTTTATAAGTATTCCGCAAATCTGCGTATATTTAGTCGCATTCAGTTTGAACATTATACCGATACATAATAATACACTTGTAATGACGTCTTATTCAACGAATTATTTCAAACTCATCGCGCTTGACGGTTGTAATTTTCAGAAGTTATTTACCGGAAAAGTCACCGATTCAGTATCGAAAGCTCTTTACACTTCCTGCAATTTTCACGCTGCTATTTTTCACTTTCATATTAGCGATAATATAACATGCGATGTTATAATGCCATCCAAATTTGAGCGAAAGTAAGTGAATAACGTGAAGATGTTTAATATAACTTGCCAGATTCTAAGTATTATATCTCTTCTTTCGCCTCACCGTAATAAAATTACATTTATACTTTACGTTTGTTTTCATTTCGGCATATTTAACTTCTCGGAGTATCACTTAATTTAATTTCAAATGCGGGAGGAATTATATCGCCGTAAAATATAGAAGTTGTACTCTAATGAAAATTTCAATAGTTCCTTAATGAGTTCCGAGCTCTTGATAATTAATTCCACAAACTTATATTTTCTGTGACCGAGTTAATTTCACTCACGCAAATTAGGAATTTAATCAAATCCCGGCAGTCATTTCGGCCGTCGGTCTCTGGCCACGCACAAAAATGGCAATTAAACCCGACATGCCGTTATTAAGTTCCACAAATCATCTGAGAGGGTTTGTGGCATTTGCGTAAAAAAGAAGCGACTAAATTGATTATATACTAATTTATGCATTCAAATCCGCGCGCGTTGCACTGAAAAAAGTTTATTCAATTGTCTTTTCTCTGCCGCAATCAATTATTTATTTACAGATACATATTATTTACTGATGCAAGGTGTTTTAAAAAAAAAAATTGCTAATTTAGACTGAATATCTTGCATTGAAGTAAGCATTGAATATTCAATATCACAATTATTATTAATAAGTTCTCTCTCTCTCTCTCTCTCTCTCACCGCAAGATCACGATAAATATTCCGATAATTATTCCGACACACACACACACACACACACAAACACGCGCAAACACACATATACATAGCCGATAATACCAGACCAAACTCATACGAGAGCCTCTTTTTTGCCGTCGTCGAGAGAGGAAGGAAGAATTTGTGTCTCACAGGCCAGCGAGGGTGGCACCATTTCTATTCATCGCAGAAAATAAAGCCGGTCTCGATCGCGAGTTCCGATAACCATGAATATTTTATCTGCATAATATTTCTAGCACCCATCGGCGCATTTCGTCGTTGTGCTCGCGCATGTACTCGCGCACACATCGACGACGACGACGACGCCTGGTTATAGCGTACCCGACCTCGTATCGTGTTTGTGGGGACGCGTTTGCGTGTCGGTGGGGGTGCAAATGTGTCGGGGTGCGAATCGCGGGTTTCAACACGCATTCGTGGTTTTCAGCTGAGCTGGAAAAGGGCGGGCGATTTCGCAGATCGCGCGCGCGCGTAAGGGACAGGAGGACATGGTGCTGGGCTTTCGGGTCGGATCGCCGGGATTAACGGGCTTCATGGGTTGTCACAAAACGGGCCGAGAGAATAGAGTCATGGATGTCGTTATGATGCGTGTAACGGGTAATGTTGCGTGCCGAAAGTAATGTTGTTCGTTCGTGGAACGATGTTGGTAGACGCTGCTCCGGGGTTGCGCGCATGTTGCAGTGAAATGTCACGTATATACCGGCGAGCGATAGAATTGTTTCCTCAAAAGGCGGCATATCAGCGACGAAAATAAGAAAGAGAGACTCGCAAATAATTAATGATCGCTTAGCGAAAAAACACGTGAACAAGATGGGACAGGCGAGGTAGAAAAGGCGCCGGATAAACTCGGGAAGAAGTTAATATACAAAACGCCGAGACGTGCGACGTCGACGACGACTACTACTTCTCTTTCGCGATCAAGAGACCGTAATGGAAATTTAAATTTACCCACGTGCAAAAACTTCAACGAATCTCGGCGCGGATCGCTTAATAAAATCCTTCCCGAGTGCGGAAATTTCCGCGTCTCCTCGGCTCGCATGCCGGCGCAAAACCTCGCGTCCCGCATTTGTCGCGCCGCGCGCGCGCCCGGACAGGCGAAATACGAGTGCGCCGCTATGATTGCCCCGTATTAGAAGGGGAGCACACGTTCAACGCAATGGATCGCAAATTCTGCATGCATTCGTGGTTACCGGCGTGCAACGCCGGAACGATCGATCGCGCGAGATATGCACGCTCGGATGCTGCGCTTTTGCGCGGGTCGTGTCGATGAACAGGCCGCGAATTCCCCGCGCGAGCTACGTGTTGCCCGATAAGCGGAGTTCACTGTGCGCCCAGATTTCGGCCCTTAACCCTTTAACGCTACTTGCCTCGCATCGACGAGCCGTCCATTACAAGCGATTTATATGATTAAGCGGAACAACACCGGATTTGCCGGGCAATCACCGCGTACTCGGCACCTTCGCTAAGTATGAAAGTGAAGCGCCAATACCGACGATGCCATTTTGCTTCCGGACTCTAAAGTCTTTCGTATGCTGGAGGTGTCAAATTAAAATTTACGGCAAAAGAAAGAACGGGATGGAAAAGCATTGCCATGTGAGTGAATTATCGCTGTGACTTGTTACTTGAATTTTTGCGAAGAAGAAGTTCAACAAAACTTTGGCGCAATGAAATGTCAAACGACGCTAATAACACAACTGAACGCGCTTGCAAACAGAAACTGCGATTTTAGCTGCAACTACTGTATACGGTAGAGTTCATATAAAATAAGCAAATGCAAACGTGTCCATCCGTCCAACAAGGATGTCGAGAGGAATTAAAAAGGTTTTTCAGTGCTTTTACTTTTAATGCTCATACTCGTAAAGCACAAGGCAGTGGCAAATTCGTTGCGAAGCCGGTGTTCGGTAAAGTAAGATACGAGCTTTAATTAACGCGAGTTACCGTTACGACCGGACGTTTATCACACTACGTATCGTGATTATATCTAAATTGATGTTTCATAGATAATTGCGATGCCCACGTGTACCGTTCCCGGAATAATGTGACGCATGCTTAACACGTTTGTATTTTCCTCTCATGTTTGTAGCGCGTAAACAGTGCGTAGCTAATTATAATCGCTTATATTGATTGCGTACACATGCGTATTCCCCGTTTCCGGCTGGACTGTGCGTGAGATGTGTAACATTCACACGCTTCGGATGCCACGAGTTTGATCTGCGGTCCATTCTCCAAATTGAAGCACGCGCGCAAAGTCCCCCCTTTCCGTTACGTGTCCTCGGAGTATCCCAGAAACTGACTTACGCATCGGAAATTATTTTTCGTATTTCCCGCCGTGTTACAAGCGCGTATGTTCTCATCAAGTTCCGCTCCATTTCACTTTGATCGTTTCCCACCACCTTACGTTCGACTAACAAACGAGTTAACTTCGTGCGAATTTTCAGGCTCATCTCGCGTATCGGTATCTCTCGCTGGAAAATCGTTCGCGGGAATATCATGCGAAAGGAACACTTCTAAATCTTCCCGCACAGAAAAGGAAATAGCCTTAAATCAGTGATAGATTTGTAGCCTTCAACCGAGCGCAAGTAATACCTGCGTCGATTGAAATTCAATCGAATCAGGACTGAAAAAGTCTTCTAAGAAGATTAAGACAATATTTTCGCTTAGTCATGAGAATATCCATCATTGATTCAAGACTAATTTTTCCCCGTGCATCGGAAGAGATAAGTGCATTCGAGTAGAATCACAGCGCAGCTGTGCACTTTCGGGAAAGTACAGCCGACACAACACGTACGAGATAATCGTATTAGTTCACACGGCGTTGCGCGTATCACTTAACCCGTTACTTCCTGTATTCCCCTTACGACATTAGCACGATTCGCTATATCGCATTTCGGCTGCGCGATGCCTACAATGCGGGCTTCCCGCACACAGATTATCGGAGTTCTCTGCACACGCGACGTGTCTTCGTATGAGCGCCGAATTCATGAGGGACGACGACAACGAGTATCCGCGCGCGTTTCTACAATATCGCGCACCACCACCACCACCACCGCCGCCGCCGCTACGGCACGACGAACGGGCCCTCCATCCGCGCCGATTTCACTCCCTCACACGTGTCACACACGCTCTCGTCTTCTACACGCGACAATTCACACCGGTCATCGTGTGGATCCACGCACACCAACAATGTCTCGAGTGGATCGTCTCTGGTACTCCGTGCGTCGCACTGGGCGCGTTTAGTGTGCCTCACGCGGCCACAGTGCGTGCGACTGTTTTGTCACGCGCGCGGCTGACACGCGTGTGTGCACGTTATTCCTCCACGTCGTCGTCGTCTTCGTGTAGTATATTCGCCGGCCTGCCTAAGTTTATTGTTAGAGACCGTTCGCGCAGCACGCTGTGGACGGAGCTTGAGGATTTAGTACGTCCCGTATACTGCTCCGGATATCACGTGTGCGCGCCGGCTAACGCTCGTCTATCTCCCGCGATCGTTCTCCCGGGTGGGAATGAAAGAAATCACAGTGATAACGCTTGTTGCGCGGCTGCGTACTACACGTCACCTGGACGGGACGTCGAAAGCTTGATTTTCGGTTAGTGCCGCATCCAGAATCTCCCGAATCGGTGTGATGTTACGATCACGATCTATTTCACGATATAAGCAACGTGGAGTTTTATGATATGATCGTTGGCAATAGCGTATAACAAATAGTCGCCGGCGATTTACTAATATTGTTGCGGAATGTCTAGAGGAATCACCTTCCGCGCGTTTCTACATCGATCGCGCATCACAGAAGCATATATATTAGGACGATAATATACCCGCATTTCTTGCTTAATAAACACGGGAAATATTTGGGAGAAAATGGCCGTCACTTGGAAAAATAATGAGCAGTATTCATATAGTCAGATCTTGAACATAAGATTGGACTACAAAGAAACAGGCTTACCGTCCGTTTTCTTAATATTATTGCCAGATAAATCCGAACGATGCGATAAATTTTCTACAAATAAATTTCCGAATTTATTGTAATAATGTATGGACAATCTGGTCGGTGCGCCAAGTAAACGGAAAATAGCGTTAGATTCAAGTAAATAATTGCTCCGATACTCCTTAGCAAATGCTTACTTGGATTCACTTTTACTCGGATCAAGTAAATATTATTAAAATGTAGAAAATGTGGTGCATTTAAGTAAGTAATATTTACTTAATCCAGGTAAAAATTTGTTAAGGTGTATCGGAGTAATTATTCACTTGAATCCGGCATGGTTTTTTCTCTGTAGAATGAAACGGTGGATAAAAATAAAGGAGAGAAGGGATATTTTTACGACGAGATAATGAAATTCAGAATAATGAAATGACAGACGCACGCGCGTGCGCGCGCGTACGAGCGACTCACTTTGAAATTTTAAATATACAGAGAAAGATGGAAAGACCGAATCAGAATAAAAGCAAATAAAGCTTGTCGCAACACGCACACCTCCGACTTGTTTACACAGATTCCACGATCAGTCCCCATTTTCCGTGCACCCCCGTCACACAAATCTGGAAATCAAACGAAACGCAATAGCGAGATTCCATGGGCATCGCACTAGCAGAGAACCCGTTCATTCCATCGGATGACGGGAGTGAGGAGTGAGCGAGTGAAAAACGAGAAATTAGGATTTCGAGGACAGCGAAGTGCTTGGAACACGAAAAACCAATTGCACGAGCACTCGAGAGAGGTTGGTGGATAGTCGAAAGCGCGACAGTCCGAGGGTGGGGAGATGAAAGAGAGAGAGGCACATTGTTTATTCTAGAAATAGTGTTTTTATAAAAGCGCGTTACGCAGATTACTGTTGCTACATGATGCATACCATTAAGCGAAGCTTCGCGGTTCTCGATGGGTATGTTGAGTCCGAACAAGTCTGAAAGTAGTAACGGGTGATTTCGATAACCGGATAAATTAAACGGGCTGTTCCTCAGGAAGATACCAAGACGTCTGCGATGGAAAAGTGCGATTTCAACGTTAGTTTAAAGCGCATCGTTCGACGTTGCGCTTTAAACTTAATCGCGAATTCGCATATTGTGCTCTTCAAAATCGAAATTTTGTACCTACGTTAATTCTGCCATTAATTCTACAACACAGTAGAAGCTGAAATAGTAAAATAGGTTCGATTTCAATCAAGCTCAAAACGCCCGCGAAAGGAAGTGTGCAAACACAAAGCGCGATCCTGCGTAAATTTCAACGCGGCTGCGAGCCGTAAAACAGGCAAACCAATACCGTCGACGACATCGGCCCGTCAAGCCGCAAAGCCGCGCCAATCCTTTCTGTTGCGAAGGATACGACAGAGGGCGGATGTCGAAAAAGTTTCGTCTTCTCGGGAGAAGCAGAGAGAGAAAGAGAGAGAGAGAGAGAGAAAGGGTCACCTGAACCATCACTGCTAAAATTACTCCACTGGAAGCGCCCGCAAATCGCCGTGCCTTTTTTCGCCACCGCATTCACCGCGACAAGTCGCCCGCGACGTTTTAGCGCCGTTTCAGGCTGCGCACTCCTGGAACTAATACATCCTTAAATGTGCTCTCAACGATCCCATCTACCTCGCCCGCAATTTTAGGTCTCATCGCCCGCGCCTTTCGCTTTCTCTCTTTCATCTCCGAAATCCTAATTAACTTTGGTAATTATGTATGCGGGACTGAAGGGTTTTACACACTCTGTTACGCCGGCGGCGAGCAAGGAGAAATGAGAAAAAGACGGGGGACACAGAGACCCGAGGTCCTGTGCGTGCGTTCCCGAGCGTTGGTAGTGACATGACTCAAGTAACGCGAAAATGTGAAGTTTCGCGAGACACGTTGGTTTCCTTTCATCTATTTCCCGAACCGTTGAACTGCGGTAGAGATGGGAAAGAGTGTGTTATGTTTTTCGAAATTTCTCTCTCTGCTACTCACACACACACACACACACACACACACACACACATTGGTTTTCGCGAAAATTACTTCGCGCTATGTTTGCCCTTTTCATTCACGCGAGCCGTCTCTAGCTTGGCGATGTCATATAAGTGTTTGAATTTTAATTCACCTCGTCCTGAAAATTTCGTTATTCCCAGCGTGCTCGTACGCTGCATGTCGTACATTCACGCGGTGCTACGTGTGCCATACACACCTACGTCGTCGTACACACAGACGCGACTTACGTGTTCCTCTAGTTTTATGTCCGACCCTATGCACCTGTGCAACACACCGCTCGCTATCTCCAGCTCGCATCTCGCTTCTTCGCTCGTTCCCCCATCAAGCTCCGTAGCTTAACAAGGGCATTAATTAATAATACCTTCCAGGGATAATTTGCGCCTGCTGTCTTGCATCAGCATTGTCATTGTCCGCAGGCTCGGCGTCTACCCTTTGTGTTTGCATCGCAGCGCATCTTAAAATTGACCCGGCGATATTCATGCACGGTGTACAAAACCCCGACAGCGACGTGTAACGGTTCGTCGGGCGCGAGTCTCGGAATTCGCGAAAAAATAACGAAGGTAGCGCCGATAAGAGGCAAATTATTTCTTAATTTCAATAATTAATGGATATATAATATACTTACACGCCAGTTTCTCAGTCGAGAAATCCCATTCGCGGTCGCTAACTAATTTATTTGCCTCCTTTATTTTCCTCATCATTTTAAAATTTATTTCGACAAGCCTTGTCACTGTTTCACGCGTTGATCGACGTTATGAACAAAATTAATTTTAACGATGAGATCGAACGACAATGATAATTCGCCAGCATCAGTTCTCGCGCTTCCACAATAATGCCGCTACTCTACCATATAAATTTTTTATGCTATATTGGGTCCGTCATTTTATGTGCGTTTCATGGTTCGACACGTCCCTCGTAAAATCACGTCGCGATATTTTCAAACATCCGACATATTTTTCATACCTCCGCGTGTCCGCGAGTTTTTCATTAAAACAGTCAAAATTAAACGTTACACTTCAGTATTGCGACACACTGCGGAACAGCCTTCAGCATTTTTGTCGCCAACAAATTCGTTCATTCTATCGTAAACCAATATTTAAGCAATTTCTCATCGATCCGACAATCGTGACGCTTTTTCGATTAAAATTGATATTTTAACCTTGAATCTCTCCGCTTCCGTTCATTCAAAACGTTATATATACATGAGCGATTGAAGAGGCGATAGTAACGCGTCGGACAATATCTGTGATAAAAGCTCCACTTTAACAACAGATTTCTCATGTCTATCGGAATCCTAAAGCGTCATGATGTAACACACACAAACACACACACACACATATATAAATTAAATCTTCTATTCGCAAAAGCACGTTAATTTTATTTCTATTAATTTGACGAAAAAAAACTCTAGCTTTTTTACGACCGACGCCAAGCGAACGACGTGTATAGCATCGTCGCATCGACGAAAAATTGACCATGTGCGAGGACAAATATTCGAATAATACCGCAGGTTAATGCAAACATTCGCTTTAATCGAAAACATTAAACGCGCCAGCCGGTTTTTCCAGCGGTCGCGTCGAAATGCGGTTGCATTTTGTATCGACGCTATTTTTATCAATTCAGGGAGCGCGAGTGACCATGCTTTTCTTTCATGACGACTACGCGCAAAATGGATTCTATCGTATCGCGGCGCATCTCGACGGGCCGTCCTACACGTTTAATTTAACTTCGCCGATGGAAGAAGCGTTCTCTCTTCCGTGTCGCGACGGATAATAATTCCCTGAACCCTCCGACACGTAGAGATGCCTGGAAGACGACGATGACAACGACGACGACGACGACGACGTGCCGGTACAAAGCCCACCGACGAATTAATTAATGGCGAAATATCATTACCCAGCTGCTTTAATTCGGAACGGGATTGATCGTGACATCACGCGATCGCGCGATTCTGGCATTCTTCACGTCCCGGGAAGTCGATGGCGATCAGTCTTTAACCGGAAATGCGCTCATTAGCGAAGCACAATAATCGAGACTTTTAGATGGAAATTAACGAGGTTGTTTCGAGACATAGTCAGGAACGCACTGCACCCCCGATCCATCTGTCCCCAATTAACCTACACGCGAATAAAATCCAGTAACGCCTTTTAATCACTACACAATCGACTACGCGTTTTAATTAAAATCCAACTGGATTTTAGTGCTCGCAACAATTTATTAATATGCCCAGCATTATCGCGGTTGTGATTAGCGATTGATCCCGCTCCGTGCTTTCGATGTCATTAGTTACAGAAAGATTACGCGTGTCGCGCCGCGGGCACGCGAAATTACTTTGTGAATGGATAAACACGCAAGTACACATCGCGATATTACATTACGTATTTCTCTACCCGGCTCTCTCAGCATCCGCAATCCGGGTGAATTATAATCAAGTCACTAATGTACACGGTTAATTATATGTACAGTTTGTTTACTGATATATGACTAACAAACTAAATAGTAATTCTGCTCGAACATAAACGGGGTTTACTCGCCGAGCTAAAAAGATGGCGATAAATATCATTCGTATCAATAAACGTACGACACGCACGGAGTCGCGTTACGAAAATGTCGTGCGATAAATATTAATTCATAGGCTTCATTAAAAAGAGAGGCGACCCCGGTCGAGTTGATTCACCCATCTCATTTAAGTTAAGTTTAATCAATTCTTTCCCACAAAGTGAGACGTCATATGTTCGTCGTCACCTTATCACGAAGAATTTAAACCACATGGAGGGACACATCTGACGAGATAGAGCTGAGGTCTCTCCTTTTCTCCTCTTCAATCTTCAGCCATCATAAATTAATTTAGCCGTTTGAAATAATTGGTTTCATCGTGGCCTGAAACTTGCATTAATTCTGGAGTATTTCTGGTTCTATTTGTGCGCGTGTACGCTCCTCGAAAAAAGGGAAAGAATAAAAGTTCAGCATTCTTTTATGAATTATACATACTCATCTGGCATTTTCGTTAACTACGTTGTTGTCAGCGCGAATACGACATAAGCGGAATAATTGCAAAATTATTGCGTCGTTCGCTTATATATATATATATATATATATATAAATATAAATTACTGTTATCTATTCATAGTGATAGCACGCGGCGTAGAAATTAAGACGACCGTTTCACCGCCATTTAACACCGCGCTGATCCATTTTATTGCGCGGAACGCGAATAATCGCGAAAATTAACTGTCAAAACGTATGACAAACGTAATACATTCACGTGAGCGCATAATGCATCGCGGCCGAATCTTAGTATCAAATGCTGGGGACATGCTGAAATCGCATAAACGGATGCCATTTATCATGCTGCCAGGTCTTACTTCGCTGGCTGAGTGACAGCGCATTAAATTTAGCATTAATGATGCGGTTCGAGGTGCTATAGCGAGACGGAAGTTCGTTAATTAGTTATCGCGGCGAAAAGTGCGCGCGGCAACTTGCACGCGTTCTACGCATCTCTCTCCCTCTCTCATTGTGTTCACATCGCGTTCGCATCGTCAGATTTGAATTCTCCCCTGTGATGAGGCACGCGTTTAGCATTCCATCCCGATTCATATTTTGTTAATTTTGAATGATTGCCGGCAGTGTCTCTCGACTATCCATCGATTTTCGCATTTCGGCGAATTGTCGCGGTAAGATCGATGCCTGCGGAGACTCCCGAATTTTCGCAATACAAACAGAGAAGGGAATGCTAAGTTTGAAATGCTAAATGCTAAAGAAAATGTCAAACAAGAAAAGATTGTGAAATATGAAAATATAATTATGTTGTACTGTTGAATTTCCATTAGAGAAGAATTCATCGTGGCCGTGTATTCCATGCAGAGGAGCGGGACATTACTGTAAGAAAGTGTAAGTGAGAGGAAGATGCCGAAACTACTTTCGCACGTGCAAAGTGAAACTACGTAACACGCGCGAAGACTGGTAACTTCGATCATTGAGATCTCAACGAATCCATTTACAAGCGTAATTCCTACGTGCGTCGCGGGGAATAAAAGTGGTGTGATAACGAGCCGAATTGTTAAAAAACAAAAGTCATTTCGTGCGCGACGTTGGTAAGCCGACCGCGTGCCGCGTCCGATACAATCGCATCCTATTAATGAATGCAGTTTGCATCCGCGGCACGCGCGTTAAGACCGTTACGAAATCTCGCGTCACGTGTGCAAGAACCGAGAGCCACGAGGGAAGAAAGGAAGGAAGGAAGTAACGAACGAAGGAAGGAAGGGAGGAAGGAAGGAAGAAAGGAAGGAAGGAAGGGAGCACGCGAGGCATTATTAAACTTCTCGCGCTCTAATCCGGGTGTAACGCGCGCGTTTACGTGGTTGGAACGAAAACTATGCGGTACGATGAAGGGGCCAAGAATCGGTGGTGGCCTACCGAGCGAGAAAAGGCTGGACTACTGCCAGAAGGCGCGTCAAGCTCGAGGAGTATTGCTGCTGTACTTGAGTATCTGCGCTTTGCTGCCCGGCGCTATTTTCACTGGTTGGTATCGACGAGATTCCTTTTCGTTGCGAGAAATTAGAACTTTATTTAGAACTAGATCTATATAAACTTGCGCTCACTTACACGCCCCTGGGAAGCGAGATCGATTTAATTCGACGCATCACGTTGGCGCGAAAAGCAAAAGGGGGTAAAAAGTAATCATTTTTACCGAGTAAAATGAACAACACTAACTCGGTATTTTTTAGACGCCCAACGAGGATTTCCTGTTTTCTTTTCAATATCCAAACTTTCCGGGATAATTTAATAGAGAAATGACGAATCTTTCGCAGCGACCTAATATTTCAGACAGGTGACACGGTGGACATAACTTTTGCTCGCTCCGAGATATTTGTGTGATTTCTGAACTGTTCTTTTTTTCCTTTTACACGCGTACGCGCGACGGGGAATTTTTGCAGGCGAAAGTTCTCCCTCCCGATCGATTACGGGAGGAAGAAAAAAGTACTCGACCGTCGTTCGTTAGAAGTGTAACTCACAAATCGCGCCATCACGTACGCCGTCGTCGACAATGTCGGGCGTAACGACGATATGATTTCTGCGCCCGCGACGGATGCAAGGCGCGCGAGAGAGAGAAACTTTTCTCTGCAGTCGTTCTTTAATATAACGTCTCGCGGTCTCACCTGAGAAATGAAGAGCATAAATCACGGCGCTCATCAAGCCTCGCGTGGTCTCAATTTTGCAAAACTTTTCCCACAAATCTTTGCCGCCCGCCTAGGCGCCGTCGTCTCCATCTTTTAAAGATTAGTTTAATGTCGTTCGTGACGCCCGCCGTGCTTCAACTTTATAATGAGAAAGTCACCGGAACGTAATAAGCAATAACACTTCGTGCCGTATAAACAATCCGGTTTCGTCGAACGTCCCACGGTTCACTTGTATTTCCTACGTTTTCAAACTGGGTCGTTTAATTTAACGCAAAATTCGCGCCGGACGGTTGCGTGACACAGGCCACTTTGGCGGTAAAATCTACGACGACACACGTGTACACGCACGAGGGGTTAACTACCGCGAAGATGCATTTAGAGCCCCGAAGACAATTTGAGCGTTGCTTCCTTCAAAAATAGACATCACAGACCGGACCGAGCGGTACCGGTGGAAACGCGCCTCTGATTCGGCCATTTGATACGTCGGTGCGGCAATTACAGTTAACAGGGCAAACGATCTGATTTTTGCACTCGTAGCTTCCCACACGGTCGCAATTCGAAGTTTCCCACGAATTCCGCAGCTCTTTTTTTTTTCTTCTCGCGTCGGGAGGGGCTTTTGAGTGTGACCAGAAATATAAATGGCGAGAAATGACCCTTGTAAAACGCGACAGTGGTATTAAGGGACGTCCTCTCGGACGCATTCGAAGCCGCGAGCACGCGGCTCTGCGAGTCGAGATATGCATCCCGTAACGCTTCACGGGCAAAATAGGAACTAATTAAGCACACGAGAGTTTAAACGAGGCGCAGCACCGGCCGTAGTGCAAATTGCAAGTCGTATTAACAATTATCTCGTAATTGTCTACAGCATGCTCAGGATTTGTAAAGCTAGAATTAAATTCTAGCAAGTAACGCTCTCGCTGGCACTTCGTGTGTCGCCGCTCGGTGCTCCCTCCTACATACGTCTCTCGTTCTATTTTCCCTCAAATCTTTACCATTGTGCCTCTCGGCTTTGTCGTGAATTCGACAGTTCGCTCGAACGGAGAAAGGAGGAGAGTGGATTTCGCACTATCTCTTAAAAATAAACATCGAACGTGTGCGCCGCGAGTGAATTATGTAGTTTGTCACAATTGTGAAAGAATGTTAAATATTAATTTGACGTAAGAGAGATACGTCGGGCTGTAAGTAACGAACATTTTTATACGCCGTTGATTTTATATATTGTCTAATTTTTGAGAATGCGAGATGTGTTTCTGAATTTACGAATAGAAAATGCGACAATCAGAGCTGCAAAGATACAATGAGTAGCCATATGTGTTTCCATCCGTGTCGACTGATAAATTATTAACTGTCGTGAATCTCGCCTAAAACACGTTAGAGAAATGTTTCACATTGTGAAATATATCGAAATGCACAACAAATTGTAAGCCGTGCAAAATTACGTTGAAACGTCGGCGACAGTTTCGGTCAAGTACTTACGGGCAAAGTTCACTTACCTCCGGGCGAACACGGGCGACGCATTAATTGGTTTCTTGAACCGAGTAGCACATTTGAAGTTCCCTGCAAACTAAACATCTGGTTTAGCGGTCTAAACATTCGAGACCCGTGTTGGTTTCCACGCGGCGACGGGAACATCCAACCTGGATAATGTTTAACTGACATTCGCCAGTCCAAAATCTACAATTGATACTCTAAACTTGGTGTTTGGCGAGAAAATAAATCGCAAAATTGCAAATTATATTTGCTTCATGTGTCGAAAATATATTTTATCTCCTTGATTTGAACGTATCCATTTTACGAAACTATCGATCGTGAAAAAGTGATGTGCGATCGTATTTACGTGCGATTTGCGAATAATAATTGAATAATTACGGACTTCGCTAAACGATCCTGCGGATATAAAAGTGTCAGACACAACAGACACGACGCAGGAGAACCGTCGAGCAGAAGGGGTTGTTTTACATTTACAGTAACGTACGCTGGAAAATTCGATTCGCTACTGCTCGATTTTCCCAGAGACAATGCCGGCTACGTATTGCCGAAAGGGAGAACCGAAAACAAACAGCGCTTCGTAACCCGTCTACTGGAAACGAACCACGTGTCTATCAATAGAGCGAGCTGCAGCTCTATTTATCCCTGTGTTGGCGTCGAGAGAAAATACAAAGACAACTGAATAATACATTAATTCGCATACGATCGTTATCTTCTCTCTTACTTCTAAATTCACCTCTATTAGTTAACACGGTGCCATTGTCTACGTTATTCCAGTCGAAACTCCAACGATTTTCAAAGAGAGCTTCTATTCTCTCTACTCTTATCTAATTTACATAGGACGGAAAAATAATTATCGCTACACCGAATATCCTCGAGAGAGAAATACGAGAGTAAGAAGTAAATGTAAAATATCTAATAAAAATCATATCGATACCAATAATCATCATTTTGAGCACCTTCTGTAAGTGCAAACTTTTTCCATCTTTGTCTGTTTTTCATACATATATATTTTTTTAAGGTGTGTACACACATATGCATGTTTCGCTTTTTCTATCGTTTTTTTACTTTTCTTTCACTATTGATTTTTATTGCGATACTGCAGAAATAACATCCTTAGAGGAAATATCCTAGGATAAAGGCATCTGTCTCTCTAGTCGTTAATAAAGTATTTTCATTCTTCCAAAATATTCAAGATGATAATCGTTATTACCTCACCTGTACTGAAGTTGTGTATACATTTTTTAAATGACAATATAGCAAGATGACGAAACAAAACGAGGCGTTCGGCAGCATCGTCGGAACACGAAAGCGACATTATCATCGCGGAACGAGGCGATAATTCGACTCGTCGCACTCGCGGCTAAAATTCGCGGCTCCGCGCGAGGTCTCCACACGCGTGAGATTTCTAAAAGGGCAAGCGGCCTGCCAAAGTTTGGTAACCGCCTACACCCGGCGGGGACTATCGAGCGGTCGAGTTGCCAAGCGTTGAAACGCGGTCCGCAACCGTCGAGAGACAACCGAAAACAAAACTCCCTGCACTCGGTGCCGCGGAAACGCATCGCGTGGTTACCCGTAAAGAGGATCGCGGTGGAGCGGCCGCGCGCGCGAGGAGCGGCCCAGGCGCCGGCAGTTACTTACGCTTAGGACAATTTACCTTAATTAATTAACCGGCGTTGTGACGGAGCGCTAATTTATGCTCATAGAATGATTCACCGCCCGCTGCCGGGCGGATTGCGGTTTAACCTCCTTCTTCCTCCGCCGGCCTCGCCGACAGCTAGCCCGGCAAAATTCGGCTGCCTGCAGCCAGACGGATGAGCCGCGCTAATTAGAAACGCTTCAAATTGCATTTGAAAATTCGCGCCGGTCTACGCTCGCCCGGCCATTTTACCGCGTTCTAACTGTCGCGCCGGCTCCCCCGCGAAAGTGTCCCCGTTAATATCGGGAATTTTGTCGCTCGAATCACCGTCCCGCGCATTTTGGCCTTCCGCGATATAATTAGCACGATTAACCGGGTCAGCAGGGCTTCGTGACAATGCGTGTCGGATAGAGGGGAATTAGTGAGATCGGAATCGGTAAAATCAAAGCGTTGCTTTTCGGAAGCGGACTACCGCTTTGAATCTCTTTGGCGAGATGGCGACGCTTCCCTCGTTTATGTCGCGAACGATTATAATTGCACAAGCGGTTTATAATGGCGCGAAAACATCGGCCCCTCCGCGAGCAACGCCTACAAAACGAATTTCGCGCATTACACCTACCGTAATGCCTTCCAATAACAGCGAGACGCGAACGGCGCCGCTCCACCGCCGCCATATTATTTCCGCAGATTTACACGTTAAATTAAACAAGATAAAGCAACGTTGCTGCACTTCCTCGTCTCTTGTTATTTTATCTCGAGCCAATCTCGTGGAGCAAATCTTTCAGGATATATTCCTGGATACTGAAACAGCTGGATCGGTTTGCACATGTGTGTATGTGTGTGTTTATGTCCGCGCACAAACGCACGAATGTGTGCGAAAAATAGCAGGACAAGTTGGAGACTCTCTAATGCCACTGACTTTATTAGCAAAGCCAGATAGAGAGAAGAGCCAGAGTCTGTGTACACACGCGTATATGCGACGACTACCCGGAAAGAGAGAGAGAGAGAGAGAGAGACAGAAAGAAGGAAAGAGAAGAAGACAGAAAGAGAAAGAGAGAGAGAGCTCGCGCTCGTCCGTCTGCGCGATATTAAAATCACTTGGACTAGAGATGCCTTCATATGAAATTTTCGTCTCCGCACGGAGTCCTTTTTGCTCGGCCCAGACTCTTTGACTTCCGCTCGCGAGCGCTTTTACGTATCAGATCGTACGTGTT